TCTCTTGGGACCCCTTAGCGTTACTATTATATGCTTAGTGGTTAAGAGCTGGGACTTGAATCCTGATTTACTGAACCCCTGGCTCCATCCCTTACCTTCTGAGACCAGTGCCTCCATAGCTTCATCTGTAAAATGGGGGTAACTACCTTCTCCAGGCTGCCGGGAGGTTTAAGTGAATAAAGCATTTAAAGCACTTTTTCTGAAGTCTGGCATGGAGAAAGCTCAGTAACTGCTCATGGTTATTAGACTCACCATATTCTCTCCGCATAGTTCACAGTATGTATGTTTTTTCCTCCACTGACGACCCTGGGTGTCTCTTTGGGTCACGGCCATGATCGATTTTTAATCTATTACAGAGCCTTGCAAATAGTGGAGTTCGAGAACCGTTTCTCAGAGACAGGGCAGTGCAGCCCTCCCACAGTCCCGGGGCCCCAGAGGGGGCACCTTTCCCCGACCCACCCCTCTGTTTCCTCAGGGCCATGGACCGAATGGTGACCCCTGAACTCATATGTTGAAGTCCTAACCCCTGGTACCTCAGCATGGGTCCTGTATTTGGAGACGGAGCCTTTAATGAGGTAATTAAGGTCAAATGAGGTCATATGACTGGGTCCTACTCCAAGACGGCTCCTGTCCTTAGAAGAGATTAGGACACAGACACACACAGAGGAAAAGCCATGTGAAGACAGAGAAGATGGACGTCTACACACCAAGGAGAGAGGGCTTAGGAGGAACCATGCTAGCAGTTTGGTCTTGGACTTGCCCCTCTAGAATTGTGAGAAAACACCCATTCTGTGGGGTTTTGGTAAGGCGATGCCAGCAAGCCACAGGCCTCTTTCCATCAGAAGCCCCGGGTTCTCTGCCAGTCCCCGCTGCCCGGCTTGTGCCCAGGGGCCATGACCCCTGTGCTGCCTTCTCCTGTGGGAGGGTTTTTTTTTTTTTTTTTTTTTTACTGTTGCAGAGAAATGGGTGTTTAAGGTCACGGCCACAGGAGGTGCGGTGTTAGTCTGGGCTGATGAGGTTCTGCGGGACTCGGAGCACGAGGCTCTCCGCGAGGGGGAAGAGAGCACTGGCAACCCCCAGGTGTATTTGCCCGTGGAATCTGCTCTTCACTGAGCGTCCCTCAGGACTTAGAGTCCCCCAACTGCTCCAGCTCAGCTCTACAGCCCCATGATGGAAACCCTCAGAAGCTGTGACGCATGGCTGAAGAGGACGTTGAGTTTGTGAAGGGCAGCGACCTAGAATCAGGAAATCAGAGCTGGGAGGACCTACGAGCATTCTGTCCAGTCTGAAGATGAGGAAACCGAGGCCCGGAGAGATCAGAGGCCCACCCGAGGCCACCGCAGTGGGGGAGTCACCAGCGCCCCAGATCTATATCTGCAGATGGTCTTTAGAGAAGCTGGTGCTGGTTTGAAACCCATCCTTCTAGTGTTATTCTTGTCCTTCTGACGAGTATGAGAGGTCTGCAGGCAGCGTCAGCCTGGGAGCTCCCCCAACACCAGGCTGAACTCACACTTACTGACCCGAAGCCCCGAAAGGTCCAGGGACCGAATCCCTAAGACTGGCTTTGGCGTCTGGCATGGCTGATCAGTTCGTGGTAGTGGGACAGCCGAAGCCCGGGGTTTGGAACTGGGTTCAAATCCCAGCATCACCTAGTAACTGCGTGAAAATAAACCCCCGGTACAGCCCCTCTGCCAAAGTGGGTTACACCACATCAGGGGCTGCACTGCAGTCACTGGGATGGATGCACGAGATTTAGCACCGTGTGTGCACACGTCAGGCCTCACTGAATGTTAGGGCTCATTCTTCCTCCAGAACCTGGGAGTAACAGGGTACAGCCAAGAGGGAGGGCCCCAAAAAAGGATTTGAGATGGGGTCCAGAGCTCGAGGTTTCCAGGAAATATTAAGATGTCCTCACAACACCCCCCCCACCAGGTGTCAGTTGGGGGAAGGGACAAATGGAGCAGGGCCATTGAGAACTGTTTTGCATAGCAACGGTTTTTGCAGCTAATCTCTGGAATGGTCATTTAACATATCTATAACCTTTAACTGGTTTCATAGATATGTTAAACAGCTGTGGCCATGCTCTGAGCCAGGGAGAAGGGAGTGGCTTCTACCCAAGATGTAACTGGGGGCAGGTCCCCTGAGTTACAGCTCCTGCATGAGAGCTTGGAGTTGATTGGCTCCCCGCCATGGGGCCACAGCTGCCCAGACTCACTATGGCAGCCCAGTAAACTTGTAATAATACAGGGATGCTGGCAGGTGTAACTGATTGTAGGAGGAGTGGGAAATGGGGCTGCACAGGAGGACTGGCCCGGGGATTTAAACGCAGACACGGCAGCCATTCGGGGGAGAGCTGTGTGGTTTGGGGCAGAGTGAGGAACCCCCTCTTGACAAGGTGAAAGAGAGAGCCACGCAGTTTTGCCAGAATAAAGATCCCTGCAGCCAGGTGAAGAAGAAAGACACACACTTTTGGTGGACTGAGGACCCCTGCAGCTTTGGTAGAAGAGGCCCATAAGGCTTTGGGGTGCTCCCTTTGGCCGCATGGCCTGGAAAGCAGGAGAGACTTTGACTGGAAAAATGGGTACAAAGAACTCTTGCCAGTGGACCATGAGAAAGTGCTGCATGACTTTGGATTAATTGGAGATCTTGCCTGGATGGCGACACAGCTGACAGTACCAGCAGCCTGGAAAAACGGATGTGTGCTCTTTTCCTGATTTACGGTGCCCGGAATTAGGACAGGGGGAGAAGGGAGCACTTTGTGTGTGTGTGTGTGTGTGTGTGTGTGTGTGTGTGTGTAAGTGTATACCCTAAGGGACTTTGATATTTTAATGGGGACACTGGGTCACTACTTTAAGTCTGTATAGCTTTAAATAAACCTTTCCTTTCTTTTTCACACATCTCTGGCATTGAGAGATGTCTTTCCTCTGGCAGCAGACAGACGAGCCCAGTAGGTATTAGTATACCATCCTTGGGAGGTGTCCCTGTTGTTCTGTAGCAGTTTTTGGCATCCCTGGGTGGGCCAAATATTGCCCCCCTTGGACCCCTCTTGGGTAACAAGGGGTCTGGGGTGTCAGGCACACTCCGGGAGACCCCAAATCCCTAAGGGCAGGAACTGCCTCCTATATCTTGCCCAGCCCAAGTCTGTTTGTAAACAGGTCATTTTCTCCATGAGAAAGCAGAAGTGCAGGGCACCCTGACCCGCTGGCTCTTTATCTTCTCCCATTCCATTCGGGTTATTTTCTTGGTCCTCGAGTGTGTGGCCTTCCACAGGCGACGGGGCCTGGGACACAGCCCGGAGTCACGACCAGGAATCGGGTTTCGCCAGTTTGGAAGCAGTTTTAATGAAGATGGAAATGTTTATCAACTCAACACGGGTACCCCCAAATACAAAGCCAAACATCATCTTCCGCTGCATAGCAAATATGAGTGAAGAATTTAACATCATTATTTGATCACAAGCGTAAATAGAAGTCACCATAAATAAATGTAAATTCATTGTACAAAAAATCCCCGACAACTCTTAATACAAATATGGTACATTTGACAGTTTCTGAAACAGGTTTTTTTTTTTTAACTTTTTAAAACCTAAGATTTTTTTTTTCCTGGTTCTCAGACACACAAAAAAAACCAAAAGGGGGACAGTAACACCAGGGAGGAAACAATGTCACACCTTGTCCTGTGCTCGTGAGTCAATGCTGCTGGCAAGCCGGGGACATGAGCTGTCTCCCAAAGGTGAAGACCTCAATTTATGGGGATTGAATCTCTTGAAGATAACAGGATTCGATTCTATGAGAGGTTCATATTCAGGTTTAGGAATTGGGGGCTGGAAGGGCATGTTATTGAAATAGCACTCTCATCAGATGAATGGTCCACATCTTCACAAAAGCAAAGGTCAGGGATTTGGAATGATCCCTAGGACTTAAGGGCTGGACATCTGTCTGAAAGGGCTGCTGTTTCCAGACAGGACTGGAGGTACTTAAGAGACTTTATGTGGGTTTTGAAGGTGCCTTCTGTGTCGTCCAGCCATGGGGTGTAACCTTTCCCTCTTGCCTTTGACCTGTGGTCATAGCAAAAAATAAGAAATTGGAACAGGAAGTAGTACCTCCGGACAGGAGGTTCTGCCAGCTTCTGCCCTGAACCACTTTTCTCCCCTATGGTTATTTTGTTTCATGGCTCAGAGGGAGCTTGAAGGCCGCGGTCAGCTGTGGTCCTTGGCCTTCCACGTGCAACACAACTCAGAGAGCCCGTGGAAAGTGCAGATCTCGCCACCTTACTCCCAGAGATGCAAATTAGTGGTTTGAGGTGGGGCCCAGGAGTCCGCATCAATGTGCTAATCTCAGGAGCCCTTGATGTAGGGGCCTTTGGACCACACTGCAGGCCCCGCCCCCCCCCCCCCCATGGTGAGCTGGAGTGTGTCACACAAATCTGCTGCTATGGGCTCACCTTTGCTCTTTCCGGGGGTTAAAACAGGCCAGTGGATTAATGGGAACCATTCCCATTCATCCACTCTGAGGGGGGCATCATTACTGTTCTATTTTTTTTCCCTCCCTGGGCTGTGGGGTGGGAGGAAGGGATATCAAGTATCTCACTTTATATTTTCTTACAAGTGCAGAGGCATGGGCCCCTTGAAGATGACTTGTTCTACCTGAGACATTCAGTTCCAAAGGCTTCCATTTTTCTGAGCAGTCTCCCCATGCTTTTGGGGAGATGCTGCGAGAAATTCTGACCACAGCCAGCACCACTGACCATGGTGCTGACACCTGGAAACTTGTCCTCTGTTTGCCATGGCTCTCAGCACCTAGTCCAGGAGTATTCTTGGCGGTAGAATCCCTGGTGTCCAGAGCAGGAGGAGATGCCACCTGGGCAAATGGGGGGAGGGAGCCAGGGGAGGTGAAGAAGCCAGTAAGTGGAGGCACGACCATCAGGTTGGGCTGATATCTTGGGCAGCAGCCATGCTCTTTCTCCAGCTGAGACTTCAGCTTTGAGGTCGCAAGTGGGCACTGGGTAGGAGGTCCCCATCTTGGGAGGAGGTCTTGGGAAGCAACCACAAATGGGGGGGTGACAAGGAGAAAGGGTAAAACTAGGGCTCTTAACACAGCTGAGGAAAAAAAGGAAGAAAAAAGAGCACACACTGCCCTGTGTTTTGTTTTTTCATTTCTACTAGGGCAAACTGCCATGGAGATGTCAGGGGAGAGCATGCACAGGCCCCGCCCTCAGGAGGTGTCCATGTATTTGGGGAGGTTCTCGTAGGCTTCCTGGTCCATCTCATGCGCTGTCCAGTCAGACCCCGTGGCAGGGCTGGCCGTGGCTTTCTCTCTTCTCTGCTTCGTCTCCTCCAGGCTGAGGGTTTGCAGGACCTTCTGCCTAGCAGGTGGTGGCCAGGGACTGGTGGATGGGTGGCTGGAAGCAGCGCACATGCTCCACGGTGGAACTGTCTGTCTCCACGGACTTCATGTACTTGTTCAAGATGGCAAATACCTCATTGTTCAAGATCTGGTACTTCCTGATCCTGTCTGCCATTTTCTTCAGGGGCTGAAAGGACAGGGCCATTCAGGTTAGCAGTGGGAGGAGGGGACAGAGAAATAAAGGGTGAGCAAGGGGTCGAGGGTCCTGGTACCTCAATGATCACGTCACTCTCTCACTTAAAGACCTTCTGTGGCTTCCTAAAAGATAAAGCTTGGCCATATAACCTTTTCGTGAGTTTCAAAATGTATTACAAAGCCACAGCAATCAAAACAGTGTGGCACTGGCACAAAGACAAAAACTGATAGCAACAGAATAGAAAGCCCAGGACTAAACTCTTCCATATACGGTCAAATGATTTCTGACAAGGGTGCCAAGACCATTCAATGGAGAAAGAATTGTATTTCCAACAAATGGAGCTGGGCAAACTGGATATCCACATGCAAAAGAATGAAGCTGGATCTTTACCTCACACCATACACAGATAATTAGATCAAAATAGATTGAAGATCTAAAGAGAGGAGCTAAAATTATAAAACTCTTAGAAGATAACATGGAGAAAAAACTTCATGACATTTAATTTGGCAATAATTTCTTGGCTGCAACACCAAAAGCACAGGTGATAAAAGGAAAAATAAATTAGACCACATCAAAATTTAAAAACTTGTGTGCATCAAAGTCACTATAAATAGAAAAAGGGCAACCCATGGAATGAGAGAAAATACTTGTAAATCATATGCCTGATAAAAGATTAATACCCAGAATATGTAAAGAGCTTTTATAACTCAATAACAACACAAAACAACTAAATTCAAAAGTGAACAAAAGACGTGAATAGACATTGCTCCAAAGCTGATAAACAAGTAGCCAATAAGCACATGGAAAGATGCTAACATCACTAATCATTAAGGAAGTAAGAATCAAAACCACAATGAGATACTTCTTCACATTCATTAGGATGGCTATTACCCAAAACCCAGGAAGTAACAAATGCTGGGGAGAATATGAAGAAATTAGAACTCTTGTGCATCACTGGGAATGTGAAATGGTGCAGGTCTGTGGGAAACAGGGTGGTGGTCCTTCACACATTAGGAATAGAAGTCCTAAATAGGAGATTTCCGGCCAAGATGGAGGTGTAAGTGGAAACACTGTGCCTCCTCGCAAAACCAAGTTTAAAGACAACAAAGTTTTAGTAACAAAAACGCAACTAAAACACAGAAAATTGAACTGCATGAAAGTCCGACAACAAAGAACCATTCAGCCAGACAGGTAAGAGGGGTGGAGCCAGTGGCTGGCAGAAAGGGGTAGAGCAGGAAAAGGTGGCCAGACAGACCCAGGCGTGCAGGTGGGGGTTGGCGGATCCCAGATGCAGGGTGGCAACTGGTGGACCCAGTGAGGGCGCAGGGTGGCTGGCTGAACGTGGTCACAAATTCATGCGCAGATAAACCAGGCAGAGGAGCGAGCAGTGAGACAGACAGTGCAAACCAGGGCCCCAGCACTGGGAAATAAAGCCTACAAGCACTGATTGGAAAAACTTTCAGGGACGAGGTGAAAGGACAAGCTCCCAGGCTCACAGAGAATTTGTTGGAGAGACCCATAGTGTCCTCCTGGAGGGCGCACAAGCCCACGCGCCCGGAAACCAGCACAAGAAGGGCCCAATTTGCTTTTGGGAAGCAGCAAGAGGGGACTGAAATCCAGGAGAGAGCAGAGCAAGCACCATTGTTCCTCTCTGACCCCGCCCCCACATACAGCATCACAACCCAGCAACTGGGTCGCCCCACCCTGGTGAACACCTAAGGCTCCACCCCTCATACCTAACAGGTGTGAACAGACCAAAACATTATGGCTCAAGAAGAACAGCTTAAAGCCCCAGAGCCAACACATCTAAGCAACTAAGAGAGAGACAACCTTTCAGATGCACAGTTCAAAACACTGGTGATCAGGATGCTCACAGAACTGGTTGATTTTAGTCACAAATTAGAGGAACAAATGAAGGCTAAACTAATTGAAATGAAGGGAAATGCACAGGAAACCAATAGTGATGGAAAGGCAACTGGGACTCAAATCAAGGGAGTGGACCAGAAGGAAGGAAAAAATGACCAAGCAGAAAAGGATGAAGAAACAAGAATTCCAAAAAAGGAGGAGAGGCTTAGGAACCTCCAGGACATCTTTAAACGTTCCAACATCCAAATTATAGGGGTACCAGAAGGGGAAGAGGAGCAGTCAACAAGTGGAAACCTCATTTGAACAAATAATAAAAGAGAATTTCCCCAATCTGGCAAAGGAAAAAGACTTCCAGGAAATCCAGGAAGCTCAGAGAGTCCCAAAGAAGTTGGACCCAAGGAGGAACACACCAAGGCACATCATCATTACATTAGCCAAGATTAAAATGAAGGCAGCAAGAGATAGGGGGACAGTCACATACAAAGGACTTCCCATCAGACTGTCAGCAGATTTCTCAAAATACACCTTACAGGCAAGAAGGGGCTGGAAAGAAGTATTCCAAGTCATGAAATCCAAAGACCTATAACCAAGATTGCTCTATCCAGCAAAACTTTCATTTAGAATGGAAGGACAGATAAAGTACTTCTCAGATAAGATCAAATTCAAGGAGTTCATCATCACCAAGCCCTTATTATATGAAATGTTAAAGGGACTTATCTAAGAAAATGAAGATAAAAAAGATGAACAGTGAAAGGACAGCAAACTCACAGTTATTGACAACCACACCTAAAACAAAAGCAAACTAAGAGGACAGGTAGATCAGGAGCAGAACCATAGAAATGGAGATCCCATGGAGGGTTAGCAACAGGGGAGTGGGAGGAGGAGAAGGGGGAAGAAGGAACAGAGAATAAGTAGCATAGATGGTAGATAGAAAATAGATGGGGGGGCAAGAATAGCATGGGAAATATAGAATCTAAAGAACTTATGACACATGGACATGAACTAAAGGCGGGGAATGGTGGGGGAGGGGTGTGCAGGGTGGAGGGGAATGAAGGGGGGAAATAGAACAACTGTAATGGCATAATCAATAAAATATATTTAAAAAAAGAAAAAATAGAAGTCCTATACTTGAACAGATATTTGCACACTCATTTTCATAGTAGCATTTTCCGCAACAGCCAAACGGTGGAGGTAATTCAAATGTTTATGAACAGATGAACTGATAAACAACATATGGTATATTCGGCCTTAAAAAGGAAGGAAATTCTGAAATATGCCACAACATGTTGAACCTTGAACACATAGGGTAAGTGAGGATTCCACCTCTATGAATTCCCTAGAGTAGTTAGACTCACAAAGCCAGAGAGTAGAAGGCTGGTTACCTTCCAAGGGCCTGGGGTAGGGGGTGAACGGAGTTACACACGGAGCCCCCAGTGTGTAATGGGCAGAGTTTCAGCTGTGGAAGAAGAGAGTTCTGGAGATGGATAGTGGGAATGGCTGTAGAACAGTGTGAGTGTGCTTGAGGCGGTGGAACTTAAAGATGGTTAAACTGTACACGTAAAATGGTTAAAATGGCAATTTTTATGTTATATATATTCTGCCACAATGAACGATAAGCAAACAAACACCCTTTATGAGGTGGCTCCTGCCTCTTTCTCCTCTCAGCCACACATCTTCACACCGGTGACTTTGCTCTGGCTGTCCCCTCTCTCTGGAACATCCTGCCTGGCTATTTGCTGCCTATCACCCCGGACTGGGTCCTGGCATCGCCTCCATGGGAAGTCTCCTCTAGCCACGCCCCCACTCCCTGGCCTGGTTCAGACAGCCCTCCTGGTGCTCACACAGCGGCCCTGCTCCCCCACAACAGTGCTCCCCTGCCCTCCCTTGCATCTCATGCCCACACAGCTCTCCTGTTCACTGAAAGCCTGTGCAGATGAGGAGCCTGTGTCCACACAGCCTGGCTGGCATGGGGAATGTGTGTTTCAGGACTGGGGCCTGGCCCTGCCCTGCAGGGCAACCTGATTCATCCCACCGGGTTACGAGCAAGTGATTCATGGCTTTCTGCGAGGAGGTCCCCACCACTGAGCGTTGCTGTACCATCCTGCAATGTGGGGAGTTGGCTCCATAAACAGCTCACCCTCCTTTTCAGATACAAGCCTGCTTGTCAGGCCTGGCCCCACCTCCCAGGCCCCAGCTGCTTACCACATTCTTAATGATTTCATCCTTCCCATCCTGTCTCTGTACTTTCAGCAGATGGTAACAGAAGTCGAACAGGTCGAAGCGCCGCTGCTGGCCCAGCAGGACGATGATGGAGCAGCCCGCCCAGTTCAAGCCATCACCAAAACATTGCCTGGGGGCAGGGAGAGGAAGCGGCTGGAGTGAGGGGCACGAGAGGGGGCAGGGGAAGGGTCTCCTCTCGCACCAGGAGCATTGCTAGTGAGTAGCCGGTGTCTGGGACAATTATCTTAATCTGTGAAATGGGTACAAGGGAAGCTGTAGGTTCATTTGTTCTAGGGACTGTGATGATATTACAAGCCCTTCTAACCATGAAAAGGTATCAGCCTGTTGCCTCACTGATGTAAGAAAAATCACCTTTGAAGAGGACAAATGTGCAAGAAAAAAAATTCAACTGGTCCTTGAGATTTATGTGGCTGATTATGTCAAGCAAGTCAAAGAAGGATCTGTTTTGGCCCATAAAGGAGTTTGGGCTCACCTGTGAGGGGAAGGGCCGTTTCAAACCTGCTGGCCAGTGTGGGTGGGAGGGCAGGCATGGAGCATCGTGGACCTTTGAGCAGATGCCACTGGTGCGTGGGGTGGGGTGGGGTGGGGGCTCCAAGTCCTCCTGGGTCTGGTAAAGCTCAGCCCTCATGTCCCCAACTCTCAACGGCAATTTGGGCAACCTGGGGGCTGTGGGGTCGCCTCTCTGCTGTCTTTCCCCCCTGGGCAGGTTTCCTGCTTCCCCGTGGCTGGGGGCGCAGGCCCAGCAGCTGCTCTGGAAACAGCCCTCCCATCCCAGGCCCTGCGGCCCTTCCTCTGGGCCCCCTGTTTGGGCCTCCTGTGCTTTTCCCTTGAGCTTTTGGTGCCCCCCCAGGGCAGGCCTTTTCTGCTTTCCTCGACACTCTGCTCTGGGTGTGTAGCTGGGTGAGTTGGGGAAGAAATGGGCTCTGTTCTGTCTTTTGAGGACAGGACCGGGTTACTCTTAAAGGTCCCCCACGTCTCAAGGTTGGAGGCCTCCAGAACCAGGGCACCCCAAGCACACCCGGACTGACCTCTGCCAGGGAGCCTTTCTCTGTTCTGAAAACCCTGCGGTCATGTAGAGGGGTGAGGTGGGCAGTGAGGTTCTTAATGTCAAACCTCCACCAGGGCTCCCTCCTGCCTCTCCAATCAGAAACACAGGCCCCAAGAGTCCCAAAGTCCCCAGTACGCACACTCCCAGGCAAACCGCTCCACCTCTGCCTTCACCCACCTGTTGCCTTTCCCGGACAGCAACACCCCTCCCCCACCCCCTGTCTCTTGGCCTCTGTGCTGGGATCTGAATCCCAGCAGCATTCAAGGCTCAGGTCTAGTCTGTCAATTAAATTCTGACCACTCATTTCTCTCTCTTCTCAGGCGTCTGTCCCCCTCCCTGCCCTTGCCATGAAGCTGTGTCATGCAATGTGCCACATGTCCCTTCACAGACTCCACGGTCCCCACAAGGCCAGGAAGCATCTGATTTTGCTCAGTACCACTGCAGGTCCAGCCCCTACACGGCGACCTGCACATAGTGGGTGCTCCATACATAGCCCTTGGGCAGCCTCACCCCACCCACACCTTTCTGGCAGGGCTCTGGCAGCTGAAGCCTTGTCGGGGCACAAGCAGGCTGGAGGTGACCCTGCTTTCCCAGGAGGTACTCACTCAGCTGTGAACTCGTTGGTCCCCACGGGGATGCAGTAGACGAACTGCATGGCACTCCACAGCCGGTGGAACTCCACGCACTCGTCGACGTGCATGACCCCGTTGGTGGGTGGCGGGCCCCGCCAGATGGGGTCCTGCAGGTAGCTCCGAATGCGGGTCAGGATGACCTCGAACATGGACAGGCCGCAGCACAGCCGCTCCTTGGTCAGCAGGTCGCCCTCCCGAGCGATGGCGATTTGCTGGGAACAGAAGGGTATAGAAACTTTCTATCTACGTCTCAGACCCCGTCTTCCACCTGTCATGAGAGACCCCCCAAACCCTGGAGCTGGAATTTGTTCACCAGAACTGACGTCTTAGCCAGGGTGAGGCACTGACTTTATACACCTGAGGGTAAGCCTATTGCAGTAGGTCAAGTCTAGGAGCCATCGATAGAGCAATCCTTTCAAAGAACATCGATATACCCAGGCAATGAATGAAATGCTCGGTGGACATTGAAAAGACTGAGAGTACTTCTATATACTCTCAGAGTACCCTTCTAAGAGTCCTATTGCTATGACTGTGCTATTGCAAGTACTCACTCATGTTCACTGTGTGTAACACACCAGCCCTGTTCTAAGCACCCGATCAGTGTGGGATCCACTTATTCCTTACACCAACCCTGGAAAGTAGGTGCCATTATTATCCCCATTTTACAGATGGAGAAACTAAGGTTCAGGGAGGCAGCCAGTGAGTGGTAAAGTGAGGACCTGAATCCTGGTAGATCTGTGGGTTAAACTGTTAAGTGAATAGAGCAGGTTGCAAGAAAGGATGTATACGATAATCCTATTAAAAAACATCGCTAACATGCAAGCCCACAGACAGACACACACAACTATATGTGGGGTGTATGTCAAACATTTTAGAACAATTAACATTAGCTGTGGGAGCAGATGGGCATGGATAAGTGGGCGAGACTTTCACTTTATACTTTAAATACTTCTGCATGGTTGTATGTGTTACAATGAGCATATGCTACTCTTAAAATTTGCCACCAAATTTACAGAATTATTTCCTCCTATGAGAAGTCCCCTGACCATTGTAAATGACCTCTATTCATCATTTAAATTGGCTTCTGGTTACTGCATCTCTAACATCAGCTGGCTAGACAAGCACATCAAAACACAGCCTGAGTTACAAGTGAAATATCTAGGGAGAGAGGTGTCAAAAGCCATGTGCAAAGTAAGATAGATAGATAGTACAGTCTAAGGTCAAAATAAGGTCTCCAAATCTAGAGACAAAGCTAAAGAGGGTGCTCGTGGGATCAGCTCCCAAAACAGTGGTCTCCCCAGACCTTGTTTTACAGGGAGCCTCATAGCTCAATGTAAGCCCCTCACCCTGGAGCCCCCAGAAAGAGGATAACCTCTCTATCACTCTGTGGAGGGAAATAAATCAGGAAACATCACTGCTGGAGCCTGTCAGGATATTATGGGTCAGGAGTGCAGTTGTCATGACAACGATGAGCTGAAAGAAGTCTCAGGGAAAAAGGTGTGAATTGGGGAAGAAGAGTTTCACAGCATGTGTGTTGAACAAGAAGGGTAGGGAACCCTCATTCAAGGTGACCCTTGATTCTGGGGGTGGAGAAGGGACCCCTCAAGTTGTCACAGTTAACTGGAAATATCTCTCACACAGTCCTGAACCTGGGGCTGGATTCTCTTCTCACCAGGCAACCCTCTACCAGGCCGGTCTGTGGTTCTTCATGTCAGAAAGGGAGGGCCTGGAACAGTGAAGATGCTCCGTAAATAAATAAAGGATCTAGATCTGTTCTTGAGTCATGAATATTCTCCTTCGTAAATTAATACAGAGTGTTCTGAATTGCTAATTAATCTCACATGCATTTAATCAGTCTGAATCAATCCTCAAGACCTGACAATCATGGGGGATTAAAAAATTAGTGAGGGGGTTTATAAATCTGCAGTCAGACCATGAATTCTGGTTACTCTCCACCTACTACAGCTGACCAAAGGGCCCTCGACCCTCTGAAATAGTTAGGGGATTTGTTCCTTTTCTTGAAAAAGTATCTACCCTTACCCTGTGAACTAAAAGAGTAACACCTGGCTACTGGGTTGAAGATGAAAAAAAATTAAAACATGGTGTGAAAAATTTTCCATAAACCCCATTACCTAGAGATAAGCTTTCTTAAAATACTGATGTAAGATTTATTTTTTGTATGTGTGTACATACATCTATATTTACAAAATTTGGATCATACTATCTGCATTGCTTTTTTTCCCCTAAAAAACCCTTTCCTTCAATATTTTCAGCAACATGACTTTTTAATGGCGACATAAGGTGGTCACTGACATACCATCATTTATTCAGTCCTCTGTTCTTGTTGGTTACATTAGATTGCTTGCACATTTTCACTGTTACAGACAACTGCTAAACAACCGGCCTTACACAGAACACTTCTTGAGCTCATCTCTAACTGTTTTCTTAGGATAAAATCCTAGAAGTAGCGACTACTCACTTGAAGAGTATAAATGTTTTGAAGGCGTTTATTCCCAGAGTGGCCAGCTGGTCTCAGCAAAGCTGGGCCCCTGGCTCCCTCGCTGCATGACGCCCACACCCCGTTCCCTCACCCACACTCCTCCGTCACCAGGGAAGTTCCATACCAGCTTGAGTGATGAAAAGTTCTAGCAGCCTGTTCTTTTCATTCACATTTCACTGATTACTGGTAAACCTGGACACTTTTTCTGACATTTGTTGGCATTTATATATATTTTTTATGTTGTCTGTGTTCTTTCATGTGTTTCCTTTTGGTTTGCCTGTCTATTCTTTTTGCATTTGCTACAGATACCCGCAATGTGTGGCTTAGTGATATACATACACACACAAATATATGATATGTGTATGTATATTTAGTGTTTAATGTAAATTTTATCCACTTCTTTTCTATTCCACTAGGTAGGGGGTTTTTCTCTGCTGTTCTTTTCTGAGTTAACAAGGGCATAGAAAGAACATCCTAGAATCCCTGTGGAAATGCCTTTCTTCACAGAGTCCTCTGACGACATCTAGTGACCTTTGGAGGAGAACAATACCTGCTACTCCTTTTGAAAATATAATCCTGTGTGTTTTTAGAAGTCTTCTGCCTAATTTGTACATCATGCTGATCGTGTCGGGCAGCTCAGCTAAGGACGCAAAACAGCTATTGGCCCATTTAACAGATGGAAAAGCAAAGACTGAGACATGGAATGTCTAGCACTAGGTTAAGTGACAATTCAAGGGTGACACAGGGCAAAGAACCCTGTCTTTTGACCTCCTGCCTAGAGTGTTCTTCCCATGAGAGCACCAGGCAACAAATCAGGTCGGCTCCGTCTGCCCCAGAAACAAAGGCAAACAATGCAACAGCACTCAAACCTCCCGACTCTAAACATGTAGCAGCATCACCCTGTCACTGACCCAGCTACAGGGCGGGGCAAAAGGAGGTGTACAGTTTTGAGTAGGCGAAATATACAGAGTTTGTTTTTGTATTATCATTCATCTATCATTTCATTATTTTCCATAGGAAAAACCGTACAGCTATCTCTGCCCCACACTGTATTATGTGAGCCCCCCTGAACCCCAGGCAGCCCAGAAGTTAACACTTGGTGAACTTCTCTTCGGTCGTCAGGACAACCGAAGTTTTAGACTGGTCCTCAAGGGCCGGCAGATTTCGAAGACTTGGCATTTCCTCTCCCACAGACTGTCTAGGCTTTTATTTATGAAATACTCAGCATTTGACAAATGGCGATTTCTATCGGTCCCCAGGAAATGGTGTTCACCAGAACAGGGAAGGAATCCAGTCTCTAAGTGAAAACACATGCCAAGGCCTGGGTGCGAGGGGCCAGATTCTTGTCGGATGACACCACCAGTGGGGCAGACACACTGATGTGCTGCCGGCTGGGGGATTTCTCCCTAAAAGGAAATCTTCCAAGGAGCTCCTCTGCTTGGCCCCTGCCGGCCAGGAGAGAATGTGGGCGCCCTCCACGGGGTCTGAGCTCTCTCTGGGATGGCTCAGACCACCCTTCCCACTGGACGTTTGTTTAGTCGGGTTTGCAGGAGGAGGTGGGTGACACCTGGCTCTGCAAGGTGCCCCAAATACTTGCCCTGGTTTTCAAGAGAACAGGCTGCCTTCTACCTTGTGCCCAGGATGTGAGTTTTTACATTTGAGCTTTTGTGTGCAATAGGGCAGAGAGCCATAGGAAGGCAAGGCCAAGGGGGATCCAAATGCTCAACTTTTAAATAAACAGTGAGCTTTGGTGAACACTGCAAACCACCCTGGCTTGTCTTCCTATGGTGCCCTGTTTCTCTTCTTCTAGACTCCGCCCCCTCCACAAATATTTCGATTGCTTAAACCAACTTGAAAGGAGACAGCACCTGGTTTTGGTTGTCTTTCTCCCTGTTTTTCTTCTTCCCTGACCCCCTGCATAGTCTGTGAGATCTCTGCAAGTAGGGGGTCCTGTCTCACTCGTCTCCATGTTCATAGCCACTGGCAGGACTGCTTTGTAAAAATTGCTTTTAATTACAGGACTAATGCATGAGTTCCTTCACCTGCAATAATACCAGGACATTACAGATGAAGCCCAAGTCTTCTCTGGTCCCACCCCCACCCTTGATCTCTGTCTCTTATCCCCTGTAGGGGGTTGCCGCCACTTCAAGCTACGTGTGTATCATTTTCTAGGAAAAGTTTCATTTACATGGGTGTTTTGTGTGTTTTTTAAAAAATACAAATGACATCAGACCAGATCAACTGCATGTGGTGTAACTTGCTTTCTGCATCTAACCACGTGTTTCTGATCTAGCCACATGGATGCACTGAGGTCTGATGTTCGCTTTTCATTATTACATAACACGTGCTCAGCATTCAGGCAACTTCACCATCTTTTATTTAGTCAACCCCGTACTGATGGACATTTGGGTTGTTCCCAGCTTTTGCTTGAACAGACAATGTGGCAGTAAATACCTTGTGTTCCTGTAAGCGGTTTTCCAGCAAGATACCCAGATGTGAACCACTGGCCCGCAGGGTGTGTGGAATTTTAATTCTGTGAGAGAATGGAGCAGGGTGCTTGACACCTAACAGGGGCATCCCAGACCCTTGTCTGACTTTCTTCTTTCTGGGCAGGATGAAGGATACCAGGTGTAGAAGGAAGAATTCAGGCCTAAGAGTCGGCAAATCTCATTCCAGACCTGCTGGGCCAGTAACAGGCTTCATGGTTGCACATTCCCTTCCTGTGCCTGGGCCTCAGTTTCTCCACCTATAAAATGATGGTTCTCAGGGCCCGAGACAGAAGGAGCATACCTGAGGGGTCCCCAGCCGCTCTATCAGAGGGACCAGGTGAAGCGGGGCGTACTTGGCTTCCAGGCGTTTCATTCGGACCTCCAGTCGCTCCCCCTCTGTCGTAGAAGCAGACAGCAGAGACTGAGGTTCAGGTCACACCGGGGGGACTGGGCAGGGGACCAGTCTCAGAGGAACTGGGGATATATTTGCATCCCAAATACAAAAACATGGATGGAACATGCTGAACGATTCTCCTTGGTTCTGGTGAGTGTAATGAAGACTCAGCACAAGGAAAGATGTTCTGTTCTCTCTGTGCAGCAGTGGAATAACCCACCTAGTGGGGGGTGAGTTCTTTATTACTAGAAAGATTTAATCCAAGGCTAGACAACAAGAAACTAGGGATGTTCTAGAAGGACAAAGAAACAAGGCCTGGAGTATCATTTCCAATTCTGCCATTCTGTGACTCATCTATAGCTTCCCAAGACTTTAACCTTCTCCCTTTCTGACTGCAGATTTGGGTTTGATGGGACTAAATAAATATGAGGTTCAAAATCAAGTTGGCTATTTAGCTGTGGTTAATGGCTTCTTACCTTTGATGTAGATTCTTGGCAAGATATTTTGGAAGGGTGCAGCGTGGAGGAGATCACAGACTTCCTCCTGAGACTGCAAACAGAGATGGAGGGAAAGAAGAAAAAATGATTACGAAACAGGATGGATTTTCATTCCTAGAAATCCGAGCACTGGAGTCAACTGGCCCTACATTTGCATCCTGGCACTTCTGCTTGCTAGCTGTGGGGTCTTAGGCAAGTTGCTTAACCTTTCTGAGTCTAGTTATTTATGAGTGGAGATGAGATCAGTACCCATTTTAACGAGCTGCTGTGAGGACGAAGTAAGAGAATGCATAACCTTGCAGCAAAGTCTGAGATACATCATGAGTGTGCAACACATTTTCATTACCCTCTTTCAAGGAATTTGTTGGAGAATCCCGAGGGACAGTGGACTCAGGCAGCGATGACGGGCCCCAGGCTGTGCTTGTCTGGCAGTGGTGAGGCCTGTGGCAGCCTAGCTGGGCCAGCATTCAGTTCACTAATCCAGTGTGGTTCTGTGTAAAGGCCCATGTCTGGTTAGGTTTCTCCACACCAGACAACAACCAGGGAGACAAGGATCAGAACCCAGGAGAGTGAGGTTTGATGGTGACTTTTTTCCTCTTTCCAATTGTGGGGATTTGTATTAGGTAAGATCCGGGCCTCATTCAGTGCAGACACTCTTGGATCATAAGCATCTGAGGAAATCAAGAGGTTTTCAGGCGTGGGTGGACCATGTCAGTCCTGGAAAGCTAGCAGGCCACCTGCTTGAGAAGGGAACCCCCAAACTGTTACTACAGATCCTTCCTGAAACAGGGAGGACAAGTTACCTCTTCAGAGGGACCTGCCCAATCTGAGTGTCATTCTCAGTTTCTCAACCAGAGGGGAAATGTCCCCCCTTTCTTAATTCACTTGCTTCTCTCCTAACCAGTGGATCAGATAACCCGGTCTTTATTGCTATGTCTAAGCTTAGAGCCTTTGCTTTATCCTATAACCTGAAAACTTGGCTAATTGATCACTCAGGTGATTCTTTAATTTATTAATATGCTGAATCATATTCATTTTTGAATGATGAACCAGCCTTATATTCTTGGTATGAACTTCACTTGGTTGTGATACGTTATCCTTTTTAAAAATTTTTATTTATTTGTCTTTAGAGGGGAAGGGAAGGAGAGAAGGAGAGAAATATCAATGTATGGTTGCCTCTCATGCATCCCCTGCTGGGAACTGGCCTGCAACCCAGGCATGTGCCCTGACTGGGAATCAAACTGTGATCCTCTGGTTCTCAGGCCTGTGCTCAATCCACTGAGCAACACCAGCCAGGGCGCATTAGCCTTTTTAAGTAGTGCTGGGTTTTCTTTGTGAGTGTTTTGCTGAGGATTTTTACTCTCTATTTCTTAGGGACATTGATTTGCCTTTTTCTTTTCAAACGTCTTTGGTTTTCATGAGGGTGATGCTGACCTCATAAGTTGGGAAGAGATCCACCCCCTTTTCTATTTTCTGGAAGAGAATGTATAGAACTGATGTTACTTTTTCCTTAAGTGTTGGGTATAATTCACAAGTGAAACCATCTGCATCAGAAATTTTCTTGGCTGGAAGTTTTGTTTTTAAACTAGGCATAAAATTTCTTTAGTAATACAGGACTATTCAGGTTAGAGAATTTTTTTAGTGAGTTTTGTGGGCTTGAATGTCCCAAGAACTTGCTCCTTGTATCTAAATTTAATTTATGGACATAGAATAAAGGTAGTACACCTGTATCATCTTTTTGATGTCTGTAGGATCCATTGTGATGCTCCTATTTCATTCCTGATATTGGTCATTTGTATCTCTTTTTTTCTCTTGGTCAGTCTGGCTAGAGGTTTATCAATTTCTTTGATTTTTTTATTTGAAAGAACCAGTGTTTAGTTTCATTCAAACTTTTCTATACTTCTTGTTTTCAATGTTACCAATTTCTGTTCTGGTGTCTATAGTATGTCCTTCCTTCTTTTTGCTTTGGGTTTCATTTGTTCTTCTTTCTCTAGTTTCTTATGATAGAAGCCTACACAAGAAGTTAACAACTTTTTTTTGTAATACAACATTCAGGCTATTCTTCAATACCTTCAGTAGTCAAGCGCTCAGTACTGCTGGAGTCAGCTCTGTTCATTTTCAAACCAAGCGAATGGTGAGAAAGTTTGATCATGCATTAAGCTGCCTCCCAGTAGTTTGCAATCAAGACCTTGCTCTGCCCTTTAGAGTATAATCAGATGTGTTTTTCTAGCCAGTATCTTCAGCCACCCTTCTCCCTGTCCTCCTTGCAGGATCGAGCACCTTACAAGAGTTTTCTGCCTCTCTCTCCACCTCCCAGTCTTTGCTTTCCCCCACAGCAAACAGAAGTAGCCTGCCCAGCTACATCACACCGTGGCAATGACCCTGGCAAAGAGCACAGAGAGCTGCTCTGCCACCACATGCAGCGGACACCTTTCCGTTCTCATCTCACGGCATCTCCACTGTGGCGGGCACTGACCTTCCTCAGCTACTGTGGCAATGAGTTCTGTGGACCCCCATGATTTTGGTTTCTCCTTTTCAGACTTTTCTAGCAGGTTTGACATCTAATCACCCCTTAAGTGTTGGTTTCCTCCAAGGCCCCACTTTATTTGTCTTTTCTGTTCAGTTTGTCCTACCTGCTCTGTCTCACCCACTCCCATGACTACGAGTGTCGCCTCTAATGCATCAGCCCTGCTTCCGGCCAGACCTCTCTCTCAAGCTCCAGACTCAGATGCCCAGCTCCTTGCTGGATCTTGCCACTGGGATAAGTGTTTGGGACAGTGTTTTCCTGCCCAGGAAAACACTTCTAAAGTGGACTTTCCTCTCCCCTCATCACCTAGGCTTCCTTTGCTCAAAAACCGGCTCCACTGTCTCCGCAGGGTGGCTCAGTTGGTTGGAGTGTTGTCTCGCAACACCAGAAGGTGGTGGGTTTGATTCCCACCAGGGCACATAATACCTGCGGCTCAATCCCCAGCCGCAGCATGTATGGGAAACAACTGATCGAGGTTTTTCTCTCACATCGACGTTTTTCTCTCTCTTTCCCCTTCCTCTCTAAAACCAATTAAAAATATATATCCTTGGGTGATGATTCAAAAAAGAAAAAGAAGAAAGAAGAAAGAAGAAGAAGAAGAAGAAGAAGAAGGAGAAGAAGGAGAAGAAGGAGAAGAAGAAGAATGGTACCATCAACTCGTGATGATGGGAAGGGAAAGTCCTCATGTCTTGTGATTTTCTCCTCGCTCTCCTCAATGACCACAGCACTGTCATTTCCTTAAAGGCAGGGTCAAAGCCTCTATATTCCCAGTGCCTAGGACATAACAGTGTCTCAATAATTATTTTTGAAATGAATGCATATGTGTTATCCCTATGTTTCTCAGATTTCTCAATAAATGTCTTTATCCACATGAGTATATTCCAAATACAAGAAAGTTATTACATCTCATTCAATACAAAGATTCATCCGACAAACATGCATTGCACACCAGGCACTGTTCTAGGTTTTGCAGATATGATGCTGAACAAGTCAGACTAGATTTTTGCACTCATGGAATTTACAGTCTAGTTCACAGAGGCAGATAAAAACAAGTCAATAAATCAGGACATTTCAGGTAGTGATGAAACACAACAGGGCAATAAAGCTAGAGAGTGACTGGAAAAGGGGAAGGGACTACCTAAGGAAAGGTGGTTAGAAACAATCCTCTTTGTGGGGAAGATATTTACGTAGAGAATGGAATGAAGTGAGGGAGCCGGCCATGCAGATATGAGGTAAGAGCGCTCCAGTGCAAAGGGCCTGAGGCGGAAAGTAACCTGGAGAACAGTGATACAAGGCACCTTCGTACAGTCTGCGGCCCTGATAGTAGGGAGGGACCAGCTCACGTGGGGCCTCGCAGGCATGGTAGGGAGCCTGGGTTTTATCTGAAGGGCAACGAGGAACTACTGAAGTCTCCAAGCAGAGGACTGGTACACATAACAACCCCACTGCCAAGTTTGTCTTTCTTGTTTTCTTTCAAAATTTCAGTTGCTCCCGGAAATGTCTTGTTGCCAGAAAAGCTATCCATTGCATGGACCAACACCTTTCTGTTTGGTTAACACAAGTAAAATTGATGTCCGAATGGACAAGAGGAAGGAGACCCCACGCCTCTACATCAAGAGCAACGCTGCTCACTTACTCATTTTACACGACAAGCCTCCACTTCAGATTCCTTTGGGGGAGACAAGAGTGTTCCACTTACCCACCTCTGCACCCCGCTACCACCCCTGAGTTTGCAACCTGCGGGACTCCAAAGGTCCTGGGGGTGGGGCCGTTCATGCTGGCACGCTCCTGTGGGTTCTCTCCTTGTACTGCCATTTGTTAACGGAGGCCAGGACAGACAGAAGGATGTGGTTTCCTAGTAAAGGTGGGAAAGCATTTGCTTCTACAAAAGGTGGGAGCTCCCAGAGGATGAGCCACGTGGCCATTCGCATAATGAGGTGGCTACATACCCGGCAACACCTTTTGTAGAAGGTACTCATTTGGCATTTGCCTGCCATTGCAACTGATGAAAATGTGCGGTTCAGTTCAGGGCATGCAAAGACCTATGTCAGGGATCCAAACAAGCTTCCGTGGAGGGTGCTGATGCTAGCGCCTGATCTCCCTCTTGTCCAATCTCAGTCTTAATGGATCCACACTTGGCCTTCGAATTTGCCCAGGAACCCATCTAGCCCAGGGTCTGTGAAATCCACTGAGAGTAGATTTCTTCCCCCTCGGCCCCCTGGTGCTGTTCCAGCCAGGGCAGTGTTCTGTTACCTGAATGCAACATCTGTACGCCCACCCCAGAATTTTCACCCTCTCTCTGTAAGGTTCCCTCACCTGGCTCTTTCCCTCACACCACTTGGCTTAGTTACGTCCCATTCTTCTTCCAAATCTCAACTCAAGCACTTCACCTTCCAGGAAGGCTCCCTTGACTCCCTCAGTGCCTCCCTGACCACCTGGGTGCTTTGCTCTATGTCCTTTAAAGAACCCACTTCTTTTCCTGGCAGCACTGGAGCTCAGTCTGGATGATTCCTGCCTGTGTGTTC